CTGTTGATTTTCTCACTGGTTGGTCCTAGGATCTTTGGAAGTGGAGTGAGAGACAATGAGACCACTTCCTGCGTTTCTAAATTGGGGTAGTTCAAGGATCTCTTTGAAGGTACATTTGAGGTGTTTGGGGAGCAGTCTGCTCAAGAGGACAAGGAAAAAGGGAGATTCACGAAGGTTGAACCTGGATGTTAGATGAAGTTGTTTCAGTTTTTGTCCTCTGAATCCCATCAGAAAGCTGTAAGCAATATTTTAAACCTTTAACTAACATTCCATTCCCCTTTTGTGATTTTTATATTCTCTTCTTATAACATGTTATTTATAATTCAACATTTAAGAAAACATCTGCCACATGCAGAATTTTGAGATGTGGTATAGGGCAAAGGCAGAGTCCTCAGTCTTAGACACTGAGATTGGCCCCTCAGGTAGAGCTGTCCCCTAACTTATTTCCCCAACTGTCTCTGGCACCATGCACTGGACACCCAATGCTAAACTGAAGCTGCTTGTGAAGAAGTTTACAAATGAGAGACCTAGTAATCCTTAGCATTCTAGAGATCGGAGAGAAATGTGGAGGTAATTGTGCTCAACTATTCTTTCATCTAGGAGCTCTGGTGGCATAGTGCCTAAGGCATTTGACTGCTAACCAGAAGGATGGTGATTCAAACCCACCAGCCACTTCTCGGAAGGAACATTGGACAATCTACTTCTGTAGTGATACTGCCTCGGAAACCCAAGGGGGGGTCGCTATGAGTCGGATCCGACTCAATGGCAGTGAGTTTGGTTTGTAGTTTTGGCTTTATTCTCTCCTCAAATGAAGTAAATGAAACCCAGAGAAGGAAAGTGACTTGCCCAGAATCACACAAGCCAACAAAAGAGCTAGAAGCAGAACCCAGATATGTTGATCCTGACTCTAGTCCTGTTTCCTGCTCCAGGTCACTGTTTCTATATCACAACCATCATCATCCAAAAACCATCGATTCATGCCTCCTTTGGGATGTTTATTTCATAGATTTTTTTTTTCCAAAGAAGGAAAAGCTGGCCCTTTGGACAGCCCTTCTCATGATCATTCTTTGGCAATTGTGACCCATGAGGAGGATGGTGATAGAAAAATAAAGAAGCAAATGATTGATGGTGGTGGTGATCCACCAGGAGTTTGGAGCTAGTAGAAGAAGGAGGGATTTTTTTTAGTTTTCCCACATTTGTACTGGGGTAGAAGGGGAGGAGAAGAAAAAGAGACTTCAGTTGTGAATTAAAAAAAAAAATCCTACTCATAGCTACCCCTCCTTGGGTTTCTGAGGTGGTATCTCTACAGAAGTAAATTGCCCAGTCCTTCCTTCTGAGGAATACCTGGTGAGTTTGAACCACCAGCCTTCTGGTTAGCATTTAAATGCCTTAGGCACTATGCCACCGAAGTCCGTTGTTGTGAATAGCCTGCTATATGTCACAGAAAAAATGGCAATGCTAATGTCCAGATTGTTTCTTAATCTGAGGGCAATGTCCCTCATAGCAATCCAATATTCTCCACTGTTTTGGTGCCCTTGGTAGTTGAATATAGGGAAGCTGAGCCCTGAAGACTAAACATATATTTTTGTCCTTGAAGAGTTTACTTGCCTAGATAACTAACACATGGATTTTTGTGGTGTCAAGATCTGCTGTTATTGTTAGATGCTGTCAAGTTATCTGATTCATGAAGACCACATGTGTATTACGGTGTGAAGGCTGTTGTTTTTGTATGTCATTGAGTCTATTCTTATTCATAGTGACTATACATGACAGAGTAGAACTGCCTCATAGGATTTCCTAGGCAGTTATAAACTCAGGGTCAGAGATCCTTGTGTAGACAGAGAACTAGCCCGAATGACCAGAATCTGACCTATGTTACCACAAGAAGACAGCAAGACCAAAAGAGCCCCTTGGAAGCCTTGTTTTGCTATAATATCCCTACCCTGGGGGAAATTCAAAGTCTTACTGAAGAGACACTAAATATAGAACAAGAGCACCAGGAATATGCGGTAAGAGAGAATCTCAGTTCCTGAATCCTTGGTCTGACAGTACATCTGAGAGATGAATGCAGAGGTTCCTTTGCATTAGATAGAACTGTTAAAGTACATGTTTAGCTCCCACGGTGTAAGAGAGAAATGACAGGGATTTCTTAAACCACCTTCAACATCACTGATCGAGTAAGCCATTTATGAGAAGCTGGGGAGGTGGGGAGCCATGTTTGAGAGAAGGCTGAGTGTAATCCTGTCAGTGAATGAGAAGGGCCAGACTCTAGGGTGGGTTTTTGTTGTTGTTGCAAAGTGGACATGGAAGGAGTGGAACATTCCTAGCAATGGGTTCAACATGTTCAAATGTCTCAATATAGTGAAGAGATTGCTGATTTAAAAGAACTGAAATAAGTCAAACTTGGGGCTTTGAAAATAAAAAGGAGAGTCAAAATAAGTTTAGGGTAATAGATGCAGGCAAAGTATCGGTTCTCTTCTCAACCACTCTAAGCATTTTAACTTGATACTAAGAGCAGTGGAATGCCGTTGGAGAACTCTATTGTCAGGAGCCCTGGTGGTGCAGTGGTTAAGTGCTTGGCTGTTAACCAAAGGATTGGTGATTTGAATCCACTGGCTGCTCCATGGGAGAAAGATGTTCCAGTCTGCTTCCTTAAAGATTTCCATCCTTGGAATCCCTGTGGTGCGGTTCTACTCTGCCTCATAGGATCACTGTAAGTTAGAATTGACTCAAAGGCTGTGGATTTTAACACTATTGTCTTTGCCTTTTAAAATAATGACTGGCTACAGAGTGGGGAATGAATTGTCCATACAGGGCCATGAGTGGACACAGGACAACCAGTGAGAGGCTATGGAAATATCCCGAAGGAGTAGGCTGGTGGCTTCATCTGGGGAGGTGGGAGAAGTGTGTCAAACTGAAAACTGGTTGTATGGCAGGATCAGGAGAACTTGATTGATTGGACATAGAGGGTGTGTAAGGGAAGACATCAATGATGAACTCCCAGGTTTTTAACATAAACAACTGAGTTAATTATGTTGCCTTCCTTGAAGAGAAGATGACTTGAAGTATTCAATAACCCTTACAGTTCTCGTTACCTTTAGCTCTTGCCACTCTGCATTAGGGACAAATAGTAGTGATCTTAAATGATCTTTTCTGTATACTTGTCATTGTGCCACATTACTTTCTTTGAAAGAGAACTTTTGAGGAAGACTAGATGTTTTCTGTTTAGGCCTTTGTTTTGGTTGCTGATAGATATAATAAATATAAGCTTTGACTTAAAATTCTCACATTATTTTCATGCTTTAATCCTAATACTTTTTCCCTCCAAGAATGAAATTGAATAACAGGACAGTGGTCACAACCCAGTTCTAAGAACTGGGTAGACAAGACAGACAGAACCACAAAGAACGACTGAAGCTTGCAGTTCCAAGAACACAGCTGAACATCTACTGTCTTGACTATTGCTACCAAGACAGCCGTGGTCTGCTCTCCCACAACAGAACTGCTGATAAACTGCCTGCCACCCTGCTTAAACCTCCCAACTTGCCCAGCTCAGCACTGATGCACTGTTGTGCTCAGCCTGGGCTAACACCATTCTGGCCTCAGCTTGTCTGCATGCAGATACTTTAATAAACTTTCTTTCAAAACTCTATCAGCCTGATTTCTCTCTCCCAGCACCGAACCTTAAGTTACCTAGTGCCACACTGCCAGGAATATACCACAAATACCATAAATAGCTTGAACAAATAAGCGTTTATTCTTTTACAGTTTTGGAGGCTTTAAGTCCAAGTTCAAAGTGCCAGACTCTAGGGGCTGGGTGAAAGGCCCTCAACCTTGGCCTTCACCTCTGCCTCCTGATCCTGGCCCACTAAAGCTGGAAGCTTTTCTTCATTCAGACAGCTGCTGGCTGCTGAGGCTGACAAGCCCAAGGTTGACAAGTAAAAAGGCACAGTCCCAATGTTAGCAAACCACACGACAGGCCATTAATTCAAGTCCGCTGAAAGTCCCAAGATCGGCAGAGCATGGCAGGCTGTTGAACAACAACTTGGCTATGTGCAGGGTTCAAGCGTGCCGAGAGGCTAGAGCCCATTCCCAAAGCTGCTTTTTAGTTACAGGAAGCAAGCCGCATCCCTAAAGCAGCTACTCAGCTGCTCTAATATATTCCACCATGGAGTTAATTACCAATCTCACCATGGGGAATAAGTACATCCAGCTGCCCAACCACTCAACCAGGCCTAGCCAAGTTGACACACAAACTTAACTACCACAGTCTTCTAATGTAGCAAGTGAAAATTAATGTTCTTTCCCTCTGGGAGCAGTTCCTAAATGAAGATCATATTATAAGCTTTATTATAATAACTTGAAATTAAGGCCAGAGTCAGTTGTCCTAAGTAAAACTGGATTAAAGTTTGTAGATTAGATTTAAGGCCAAAACGAAAGCCCTTATTTATTCTACCCCTCCTCTCCAAAACCTAGGTCTTGTATTCTGCCCAAGTGATGCTCAAACGTACAGTTTAGTCTGAATGCACCGACTCAAAAGCATTTAATATGTTGCCTTCCTTACCATCCTGGCTATCATCAAAGAAGAAACTGTAAGAGAAAGAGGAGGGGCCCCTTGCCTGCCTTTGCCTGGTCCTCTGTCTAGTTTATTCCATGACAACAGGAACCAGACAACAACCCTGACTCTCAGAACAATGTTTGAAACAAAGTGCAAGAGACAGAAAAATGCACCCACTGACCACATGGCCAAATGAATATTATGCTATCACCAATCATATAACCCCCTCCTTCCCCCACCCCAAGACAAAAATAAATCAGGGGTATTGGAGATAAATTTCCTTTCACATGTTGTGAAATGTCCTAATAGCTGTTATAATTTAGTGAAGGAATGCAGACCAGAGGTCGTCTAATGGAAGAGACTGCCTCAAGGTGCACCTCTTCAGTCATTTCAAGGACCTCATTCCTAATTATGCTTTTATTGTAGCACCTCCTCTGCTGCCATGACAACCCCACAGGGAATGCAACAGACCACATCAGGGCCTGGCCCTAGTATACTCCAGATGGGACAACCTGCTTCTCTGCAATTGTATCTGTGGAAGGGGAAGCCAGAGAAGTTCTTGAAGGGGGAACCCAAGGCCCTTGGGGTAAGTCAAGTGCAGATCTGGGAGAAGAACAATGATGTTGTAAACTCAAAAATGATCAAACCTAATGACAAATACTGTCTCTTACTAGCTTCATAGCACATCCTGATCTTCAGGACATCAGTATTTGATGTTAAGGCCCTATCATTTGAGGAAAAAAAAAAAGGACACTATTCTATCACATCATGCTTCTAATCCATGTGGGTAATCCATGATGAATATATTCAACTTCAATATAGAAGAACAGCAAAAGAAAAGGTCATGTGCCAATTAGCTGGTGTCCCCTCCACTGGCCTTCTTAATACCTGATGGCGCCATCTTGTTAGTCTCTCTCTCTGGATCATTTTCTTAGCTAGTCTTGATCCACAGATGATAAAATGTCTTACATTCTCAGTGCATTTCTCCTCTGGAGTCGCAGGTGGATTTTCCTGAAAGGAATGAAGGCGGTAAAGAAAGGCAGGTTAGTGCTAGTAGAAGGACCATGAATATGAAAGTTTATCTCTAGCTCAGGCTTCACAGCATGAGGACAAAGTCATTGTGAACACTTTGACTCCTTTTTTTTTTTTTTTTTAATTGTGATTTGGGTGAAAGTTTACAGGGCAAATTCACTTTCCATATAGCAGTTCACAGACACATTGTACTTTGACTCCTTTTTAATACCATGGGGCAATTGTACTCAAAGCCCCTATTTTTTGACCTCATAGTCATGGCCTTAGCTACCAGACCCCAAGAAATAGTCATATTTAATCTTTCCTCTTCTTCCTCTGTATGGACTCTCCTTCCTTCAAGTCACTTATCCTTGTTAGAATTTTTTTTTTTTTTTTTACTCCTGTGTCTCCCCTGTCTAGATTTGTGACAAAAAAGAGCAGCAGTTATCATAGGAGTAGTATCATGTACCACTAAAGCATCTCTGAGCAGGTTCTGGCACAGTACTATTTTTACTTTGAAATTCCAAGGGCAAATATAGATATCCCCAAGAAATAATTTTGGTAAATTACTATATTTACAATTCTTTTATATGTAAAAAAGTTAAGAGATAATATCAAGAAACATGTCTGACCATTTCAAATGATTGAGAAGGAGAGTAACTCAGTGGTTGGAGAAGGGATGTCTCGGGTACCTTTTATGTGATGGATAATTGGCTTTTGCTTTCATCATCATTTCTAGGTTGTCCAGATCCTGATTGCCTTGATAAACCTCAGCTTGGGAATAATAATGATGTGTGTCTCATATTCATTGTATGGACCAAATCTCATTTCAATATACACAGGGTACTCAGTGTGGGGGTCAGTGATGGTGAGTAGAGTATCTTCTGAAATAATTGGAATAGTATCCTAATTCTACCTTGTAATTCTATAACCTTGAGAAATACACCTAACCTCCTTCGGACTCAGTTTTCTCATATTTAAAGTGGATGTAACAATTTCCATTAGTAATGGGAACATGGAATTATGAAGTATGGATCTAGGAAAATTGAAAGTTGTCAAAAATGAAATGCAACACATAAAGATTGGTATCCTAGGCATTGTTGTTGTTGTTGTTATGTGCCGTCTAGTCAGCCCTGACTCATAGTGACCCCTCCTTGGGTTTCCGAGGCAGTATCACTACGGAAGTAGGATTGCCCAACCTTCCTTCCGAG